ATGTTAATGTATGGAAAAACCCACTACAATATTGTAAAGTAATTAGCCTCCAACAAATAAAAATAAATGGAAAAAAATTTTTTCCAGAATCCCTTGTACTTGATGAGGGATCTAGACTTCCAGTGGCTGTCCAAAGTTGGGCTTGTTTGCTTCTCCCACTAATAAAGCAGTGACAGCTATCACCCAGATGCAGCCAGGCTGTGGAATCCAGTTGTTTGGTAAAAACAGCCAATAGGCTTAGGAACTTCTAACTTTCGTACAAGGACCCCCAGAGCAGTGCCCTGTTTTTCAGCTTCACACAAGATAAATGGTTTTTTAAATTGGGGAGTGCTATGTATTTAAAAAAAAAATTCTCCTGGGGACTTCCCTAGTGGTCCAATGGTTAAGACTCTGTGCTTCCACTGCAGGGTGCAGGTTCAATCCATGGTCAGGGAACTAACATCCCATACAAAATTTTCTCCTAGATTATAAATTAAGATGCTCCTCTTTTAAGGCAAAATAATAAGGACTTCCCTGGTGGTCCAGTGATTTAGAATCCACCTGCCAATGCAGGAGACATGGGTTCGATCCATATTCTGGGAAGATTCATATGCCTTGGGGCAACGAAGGCAGTGTGCCACAACTATGGAGCCCATGAGCTGCAACTACTGAGGTCAAGTTCCTGGAACCAGTGCTGCACAACAAGAGAGGCCACTGCAACGAGAAGCCTGAGCACCACAACCAGAGAGTAGCCCCAACTTCCCGCAACTAGAGAAAAGTTGGCGCACAGCATGGAAGACCCAGCACCACCAAAAATAAATAAATAAATAATAAAAATAAAACAAAGTAATAAAGCTTCTCTTTTTCAACTAACCTGGAAATACCTCTATAGTACATTAAGCTAAAAGGTAAACTTGAGAAAAGTCTGCCTGGATGTTGTTCTCAACTGGGAGTGCGGGTCAGAGTCACATGAATGAATGTCGCAAATACAAATTCCCATGACCTCCTAGCAGAGAGTCAGATCTGGAAAAGCTGGAAGGAGGTTCAGGTGAGTATTTGCACAAGGCCAACACATGGTTTCATTTTTCTCCTCTCACAGGGAATCACAGAGAGGGGAAAAGTCTGGAAGGAGTTCTGCCAAACAGTTAACCATGGTTATCTCTAGAAGGACAAGTGAAGGAGGAATTTTACATCAGACTTTATACAATTTTGCATATTTTTTTGCAATTGCAATTGTTGACAAGTTAGGTATTACATTTCTCTGTAAGCCAAGCACAGAGATATGCTCTTAAATATATAAATCATCTTAAGTAGTCAGCAAATTTATCCTGTGTAACCATTATGCTATCAACATCTGACACAGCAAAGAAGATGCGAGAGACAGAGAGAGGCGCAGGGCAGATGAGAAGGAGACACAGGGAGATGAGGAGAGGTGGGAAGGAGAGGCAGAGAGGTGGGGCAGAGACCAACGAAAAGACAGAGGAGAGGGGGAAAGATGCAGAAAGAGAAAAATGTGAGAATAAGAGATCGAAGGAGACACAGAAGCAGTGAGTGAGGGCTCAGATACACAGAGACACAGAGGGAAACACAGACTCAGGGAGACGGAGACAGAGGCAGAGAGATGGAGAGAGAGACAGAGGGAGACAGAGATCTCTTGTGAAGGTTCTGGGGGCCAGGAGGGCTGCCCTCCCTGTGACCTGCTAGCTCAGCCCCGGGAGGACCTCACGGCCCCTTCTCTCCCACAGCGGCTCAAGCTCTACTCCGGCTTCTTGAAGCACCTTCCTGGCGCTCACAGGCAAGTCTACAAAAACCTGCAGGAAGTCAACGCCTTCATCAGCCACAGTGTGGGGAAGACCCGTGAAACCCTGGACCCCAACTCGCCCCCACTACTTCACCCTGCTCCTCCCAGACTTCACCGACTCCTACCTGCTCTGCTTGGGTACAGTGGGATTCCAGAGAGGCAATGGTGTGCGGGAGGGGAGGAGAAAAAGACGCGGGGTGAGAAGGGAGGAGAAAGGAGTAGAAGAATCGGGTGAGGGGAGATTCTGAAGGCGAAAAACATTAGCAACTGGTGAAAAGAGCCACAGAGGCAGAAAGAAGCCGGGAGAGGAAGGGGGACAAATACACCTAAGAGGTGGAGAGACGGATTGAAACCAAGCAAGGCTGAGGCAGGAGAGAGATGGTTGAGCACAGAGGAAAGGAAAAAGGGCCAGACGGTTTGAGACCCGGAAAGAGGTGGAGGAACCCAGAGATACGTATGTGCAGCAGGGCCCCAGCCTCTCCTGATGAGAACCCTGCCCCTCTGGACACAGGAGAAGTCCAACCCCATCAGCAAGTGCCACAAGTGCAACCTCATCGTCTCTGCTCTGTCGCTCTTCTTCCCTGGCCCTGAGACCACCAGCACCACACCCCGCTATGGATTCCTGTTCACACTCCTATACCTGTAGTTGCAGGTGGGCGGACTGGGGACAGCCACTTGGGGGAGGGGCATTCTGACCCCTCTGGGGGCTGCAGAAAGGGTCTAGTGGTCTTCTGTGAACCAGAAAGGCAGTGTTCCTCTCTTATACCAGGAGCACTCTAGGGTTCCTTTCCCCTTTTGGCCATGCCCTATAGCAAGAGGATCATATTTCCCTCATCGGGGATTGAACCCATGCCCCCTGCATTGGAAGCTCAAAGTCTTAACTACTGGACCACCAGGGAAGTCCTGGAGCACTGTAGGTTCTGAATGACTCCAAAACTAAGTCAGCCTGGTTGGTGGATGGATGAATGAAGAATCTGTCGATGTGGGGAGTTCCTTGGTGGTCCAGTGGTTAGGACTCAGTGCTTTCATTGTCTTGGCCCCAGGTTCAATCCCTGGCAGAGGAACTAAGAGCCTGGAAGCAGAACAGCATGGCTAAAAAGAGAGAAAGAGAGAGAAGCTGTCAAGGTCTTTTCCTCCATCACTTAAGGATTGACCCATCCATTTATCCACCTGTCTATTCTTTCATTCATCAGTTAAACTAATTCATCATCAGATTCTTTCATCTACAATTCATCTAAGGACATACACTTCCATTCTTTATTTGGATAAATTGATTCCTCTGTTGATCTTTTAAAATAATTATTCACTGAATGAACTGTGATTGATACATTGGTCCCTTTATTCATTCATTCATCCACATACTTTTCTAAAACTAGGTAACATACCTTAATCCTTCCATCATCCAGTTTTTCAATTCATCCTTCATCCAATCTATTTTTTGATTTATGTACTTAGTAGTTGACTCCTTTTTTCACCCTTTGTTTATATATCTATTATTCAATCCACCTAACCACCCACTTATTCCTCTATTTATTCCTTTAAAACAATTCATTAACTTTATTCTTCCATAAATTTAACCATCCACCATTCATGTGGTTTACTGGTTAATCATGTTCATTTATTTATTTGTCTATGGATCATTTAGTAATAAATTATTAATTAATTGATCTTTGATAAGGAAATAATATATCCATTCATTAACATTCTTCTATTCATCAGTCTTTCCATTCATGAATTGACCCACTGCTTGATTGATTGATGTATTTATTTATTTTTCCAGTTGTTTGTGGGTTAATTCACTGATCTTTTTTTTTCCCACTGATCTGTTTTATTATTATATTCCTGAGGACCTAGCACATTGCCACATCTATAATACACATACAGTAAATATTAGTTCATCTTAGAGGAGAAGTTTCAACAGGTTCATACCTTGAGTTTTCAGTCTGAAATTCTGAGGAAAACTGGGGTGCACATGTGTGTGCATACTTGCCTCTGCATGTTGGGAGAGTATTCATAACATTCATTAGATACCAGCAGGTGAGAAATCCTACAGTTTTCCCACTTCGCCTCCTGCCACAAGCTGGTTACTCAGAGGGGTGTCAATGATCAAACCATTTCCTATAGGTTTTTCTGGTTTCATTGGCCCAGCAATGAATGGGCCAAGGTTCACAGAACACTGAACTGTGTTCCAACATAGAAAGCAGCGTTCCTGGAGAAATGTCTCTGTAAACAAGTTTCACTGGTCCCATGCTTCTGTACAGAGAGAATCCACAAGGAGATTGACCAGGTGATTGGCTCATATCACCCTCCAGCCCTGGATGACAGAGCCCAAAGGCCGTACATGGACACAGTCATCCATGAGATTCAGAGATTTGCAGACCTCATCCCCATTGGCATGTCCCACATGGTCACTAAAGACGCTTATTTCTGAGGGTACATCCTCCCGAAGGTACAGCACCTCACTGGGTTCCCATTATCTCCTTTGTGTGAGCCTCCTACAACAACTCTTTTGGTTGGATCACTCACTCTTGTTTCATTATGTCTAGTGGTGGGTTGGAGAGGGAATAGAAGTATCTTTTAATCTTGTGACCCTCCCCTCAGGGCACAGCAGTCTATCCCATCCTGAGCTCTGCTCTCCACGATCTGGGTTACTTTGAAAAACCAGATGCCTTCAACCCTGACCACTTTCTGTTTGTTTGTGTTTGTTTCTTAAATATTTGGGCCACTCTGTGGGGCATGTGGGATATTGGTTCCCTGACTAGGGATTGAACTGGCGCCCCCTGCATTGGAAGTATAGAGTCTTAACCACTGGACTGCCAACATGGTCCCCCTGACCACATTCTGGATGCCAATAAAAGTAGGCTGGACCTGCATTCCAGAGTACAGGTGCCATGGCCTCCTTGAGACAAACAGAGGTCTTAGTTCATGGGGCAGTTAGCCTACACCACTTGCTTTACCTGTATTCACCCATCTCATCTTCACTCCAAGCCTAGAAGGGGCTAGAAAAGTGAGATCACATTCAAAGACACATCTTGGGAAGCTAGACCTTGGGCAATTATTTTTAATCTCTTGACTGGTGGGTTGCCATTTTCTCCTCCAGGGTGTCTTCCAGATACAAGGATCTAACCTGCGTCTCTTCTGCATTGGGCAGGCAAATTCTTTATCACTGAGCCACCTGGGAAGCTCCACACACATTGGTGTCAAATATCTGTTGAGCACTATGCTGATCCCGAATGTTTTATTGGGGTTTGAAGGTAGTGCAGCAGGTAAGTCACATCAAAACACAGTTTTTGTCCCAGGAAATTTACAGTCCAGTAGGAAGATGAGCATAAGTTATGGTCACAAAACAACCTATAATTAAATGACTGCTTGCAATATGCTTAAAACTGCTTGGCTATGTAAATCCATGGCTGATTCATGTCAATGTATGACAAAACCTACTACAATATTGTAAAGTAATTAGCCTCCAACTAATAAAAAAAAAAAACTGCTTGGCTAAAGTACATGCTCAGAGGGCAACTCTTTTTTTTTTTTAACTTTTTATTTTTTTAATAATAATTTTCTTTCTTTCTTTCTTTCTTTCTTTCTCTCCCTCTCTCTCTCTCTTGCTCTCTCTCTCCCTCTCTCTCTTTCTTTCTTTTTGGCCATACTGGGTCTTTGTTGATGCACAGGCTTTTCTCCAGTTGCGGCAAGCAGGGATAGCTATGGTACCCGAGTCTCTCATCGCGCTGGCCTCTCTCGTTGCAGACCACGGGCTCTAAAGCGCACGGGCTTCAGTGGTTGCAGCACTGTGGGTCCTGGGCCCTAGAGCACCAGCTCAGCAGTTGTGGTGCATGCGCTTCACTGCTCCGAGGCATGCGGGATTGTCCCAGATCAAGGATCAAACCCATGTCTCCTGTGCTGGCAGGCAGATCCTTTACCAGTGAACCACTAGGAAAGCCAAAGGGCAACTCTTATTCAGATAATTAATCATAATTATGATAAGTGCTCTAAAGCCAGCTTTGGGAACATAAAATAGAAAGTACTGACTTCCCCTGGTGGGTCGGTGAGGAAAAGCTTACCTGAAGCAGGGGCTTCTAAGCTATGACATCATGGAGGAGTATCAGCCAGCCACTGGAAGGGGTGTTCCTTCAGAGGGAGAAGCAAGGTCAGAGCCTGAAGGTGGAGATGGCGTGGCTCATCTCAGAAAGTAGAACTCTGGAAGACCCGCTTACAGAAGTCTTGTCTGACTCTTTGCGACCCTGTGGACTATAGGCTACCAGGCTCCTCCATCCATTCATGGAATTTCCAGGCAAGATTACTGGAGTGGGTTGTCATTTCCTTCTCCAGAAGATAGCAGTGAAGAGCTCAGCTGGGCAGGGCCTTGACATGGGAAGGAGTCTGGATTTGTCCTGCCTGCCAGGGTGGGGCTGGATGGGGGTAGTGGTGGGGATTGTGGGGGGAAGTTGATAGGCTCTTGACATGCTCTGGCTTCTCTCTCTCCCCATTCTCCACTCTTTGACCCCATCCAGAGAAAATCCCAATGCCCAGAGTCCTCCTCCCTGGGGAGAAAGGTAGACCCCAGCATCACGTCCCTAGTCTTGAATCGCACAGGTGACTTCAGTGACCCAGGACTCCTAGCTCCTTGCAGTACAATGGCTTCTTCCCTCATTTCCTCTTCATGAGAGTCAGGCGACACGTGGGGTGGGGGAGCTGAGGGTCAGTTTCTCCATCCATGAGTCCTTTCTGAATTTAGAGAGGGGCAGAGATGTGGCAAATAAACAGACAGATAAGGACAGAGGAGTGAGGAACACAGAGAAATACAGGAGAGATGATGGCAGAAAGAGAGTGAATGTGAGATAACAGAAGAAGGTAGAGGGTGAAGTGAAGTGAAGTGAAAGTCGCTCAGTCGTGTCTAAGTCTTTGCGACCCCATGGACTGTATAGTCCGTGGAATTTTCCAGGCCAGAATACTGGAGTGGGTAACAAGGAAGAGAAAAAGAGAAGACAGACAGAGCAACAGCGCCTGGGAGGAATTAGAACCATATGAAAATACTGAGATGGCCAAGGGCAGAGATAAAGAGCCAAAGGGTGTCCAGTTGCAAAGCCCCAGGGATGGGGAGGACCAATGGGGAGGAAGCAGAAGTCGGGCGGTTTTGGAAGAGCCCGGTTGCAGAACCAGTTACTGGAGATGAATCAGCTGGGAGCTCCATTCCGAATATTCATAAGCTTATGTATCCTAACTTGTAAATGTGCATAGAAGATGTGGGTTAAGTGTTACTCAAAAAATGTTAACAAACACTAACTTCTTTACCTTCATAATAGCCCTACAAGATAGGTGCTGTTCTTCCCACATTAGACATGACAGGCATCAAAAATGTCAAGTCAGAAATATGCACCTGCCTATATGTGGAGGCTTCCCAGCTGGCACAGTGGTAAAGAATCAGCCTGCAAATGCAGGAGATACAAAGGATGTGGGTTTGATCCCTGGGTTGGGAAGATCCCCTGGAGTAGAAAATGCAACCTGCCATTTCCTTTTTTTAAAAATTAATTTAAAAAAATTAATTAATTTATTTTCATTGGAGGCGAATTACTTGACAATACTGTAGTGGTTTTTGCCATACATTGACATGAATCAGCCATGGGTGTTCATATGTTCCCCATCCTGAACCCCCTCCTACCTCGCTCCCCATCCCATCCCTCGGAGTCATCCCAGTGCACCAGCCCTGAGCACGCTGTCTCATGCATCAAACCTGGACTGGCAATCTATTTCACATATGGTAATATACATGTTTCAATGCTATTCTCTCAAATCATCCCACCCTCACCTATCTATTTCACATATGGTAATATACATGTTTCAATGCTATTCTCTCAAATCATCCCACCCTCGCCTTCTCCCACAGAGTCCAAAAGTCTGTTCTTTACATTTGTGTCTCTTTTGTTGTCTCACATATAGGGTCATTGTTACTATCTTTCTAAATTCCATATATATGCATTAATACACTATATTGGTGTTCTTCTTTCTGACTTACTTCACTCTGTATTATAGGCTCCAGTTTTATCCACCTCATTAAAGCTGATTCAAATGCATTCTTTTTAATAGCTGAGTAATATTCCATTGTGTATATGTACAACAGCTTTCTTATCCATTTGTCTGCTGATGGACATCTTGGTTGCTTCCATGTCCTGGCTATTATAAACAGTGCTGCAATGAACATTGGGGTACACGTGTCTCTTTCAATTCTGGTTTCCTCGGTGTGTATGCCCAGCAGTGGGATTGCTGGGTCATATGGCAGTTCTGTTTCCAGTTTTAAAGAAATCTCCACACTGTTCATGCCCATCATACAGATGAGTAAACAGAGGCCATACAATGACCAGCTTGGTCTAAGGTCACCTGGCTAGTGAGTGGAGAAGCGAGATTCACACTCTGGTTCCCTGCCTCTTGAACTCAAACTCTTCACACAGCTCCTTTCTGTCCCAGAGATAGAGTTTAAAATGAAGATGAAGTTCACTTCTGGTAACAAACCAGCTTAAAGTGTATAATGAGGTGGCATTTAGTTCATTCACAATCCTGGCCATCACCAGCACTATCTAGTTCCAAACATTTTCATCACCCAGAAGAAGACCCAGTACCCATTAGTAGTCAATCCCCATTTGCCCTTGCACTCAGCCCCTGGCAACACCAAATGCTTTCTATCTCCATGGACTTGCTATTCTGTACATTTCATATAAATAGATCATAAAATGTGTGGTCTTTCGTGTCTGGCTTCTTTCACTTAGTGTGGTGTTTTCGAGGTACATTGACACTGTAGACCATAGGTGTACACAGAGTGGACCCCCGACTTATTCATCTTCCTGCTTCTCCCACCTCCTTCCATCCATGAAGGCCCCATCAGCCCATGCCCCCTGAGCTGTGTAGCTCTATATGGGGATCTTGAGCCCCTGTCACTTCAGTTCAGTTGCTCAGTCATGTCTGACTCTTTGCAACCCCATGGACTGCAGCATGCCAAGCTTCCCTGTCCATCACCAACTCCCGTAGTTTACTCAAACTCATATCCATTGAGTCGGTGATGCCATCCAATGATCTCATCCTGTATTGTCCCCTTCTCCTCCTGCCTTCAATCTTTCTTATCATCAGGGACTTTACGAATGAGTCAGTTCTTCACATGAGGTGGCCAAATTATTGGAGCTTCAGCTTCAGTATCAGTCCTTCCAATGAATATTTAGGACTGATTTACTTTAGGATTGACTGGTTTGACCTCCTTGCCTATATTTCCCTTCTAATGCCCTGCCACCCAAATAATCTGAAGCCTGACATCCCTGGGGCAGGTGATGATCCCTGCCAGCTTAGTTGCGAACCGTTTATTGTTGGGTCACTAAAGAGCTTTGAAAAAGTGAGAATTCTCTTTCACACCTCCATGCCTGTTCCTTGAGGGAAAACCTATTGTCTTGGTCATCAGTCTACACTCAGCACCTGGAGAAGTGTGTGATGGGTGACAGGCATCTAATATATTTGCTGAGTGGGCTTCCCTGGTGATCCAGTGGTTGATTCTGTGCTTCCACTATAGGGGACTGGTTACACCCCTGGTTGGGGAAAATCCCGCATGCCATGATGTGCAGCAAAATAACATAAGGTAAAATAAAATAAAATTTTCCACGGGGAAAAAATGAATGAGTTGAGAAACCCATTGGGGCTTCCCTGGTCCCTCAGTGGTAAAAGAATCTGCCTCCCAATGCAGGAGATGTAGGTTCAGTCCCTGGTCCAAGGAGATCCCACGTGCGGTGGGACCACAGCTACCGAGCCTGTGTTTTAGAGCCCAGGAGCTGTGACTACTGAGCCCACGTACCGCTGCTACTGAAGCCTGCACGCCTCAAACCCGAACTCCCCAACAAGAGAGGGCACCACAGTGAGAAGACCCCTGCACTGCCACCTCCACCCCTCGACCCTTGCCCCTGCTCGCTGCAACTAGAGAAAAGAAGTGCAGAAATGGATCCAGCACAGCCAAAAATAAATAAATAAATAAAACTATTAAAAAAAAAAAAATACAACCCTCCAAACCCAGACCACATGGAGTTAGGTCTCCCATCAGACCCCACCTCCTCCTACACATCTCACTTTTTACAGATGCCCATCCTCAGTGGGCACAGGATGCCCCACTTCTGCTGGCCAGCTAACCTCCATTCCTCATGATGCAATGCCACAAACCCATAAAACTGTCTGAGAGCTGCCCTTGAGGTGCCACCACCCTGCACCCAGCCTCCACAAGTTCCTGGAGCTGACACCTCCTCCCACCACCTTGGGGGATGTACTCTCCGCTCAAGGGCATTGCCCACCAAGACACCTCCAGCCCATCAGGGGCCCGTGGGGAGCTGGCTTGGGATCCACTGAGATGATAAACTTCATGGCCTCTGCAACCCCTGCAAACTTCGGGCTCCCTCTTGTCTATGGAGAGTTATCAGGAGCTCTGCCAGGGCAGGATCCTGGCACACCTTCCCCACCTATAGGGCAAAATAACAAACAGTGAAGCAGACTACCTTTAAGAGAGACAGCAGTGTCGAAAGCAGGCACGACGACGGCTCTCTCCACCATCCTGCTCCTCATTGTCTTCATTGGCCTCCTGCTTCTCTGGGGCCGCCCTGCCTCCCCGGGGCTGCCTCCCCCCTGGACCCTACCCTCTGCCCTTCCTGGAAAACATCTTGCAAATGGACCACAAGCGCTTCCTCAAGTCATTGCAGGAGGTGAGATGGAAAGGGCAGGTGGGGGGTGGGGGGAAAAGGAGATGAGTAGATGGGAAACAGCTCAGAGGCTGCAAGGGAGCTGGGGGTCAAGTTTGGGTGTGACTTCCCAGGCTCCCTTGGAGACTATCTTCTTCCAGCCATGATCTGGCCCTAGATACATGATAGAGAAGCTACCAGAATTCTTATGAGAAGGAGTGGAGACAAGGTTGGAAGGAGAGAGAAATTAAAAAAATTTTTTTTTAATTATTTATTTTTGTTTGGAGGATAACTGGTTTACAATATTGTACTGGTTTTATTTTAAAAATTTATTGGAGTATAGTTGATTTACAGTGTTGCATTAGTCAGGCGTACAGAAAAGTGATCCAGTTATATATATATATATATATATATATATATATATATATTTTTTTAAAATATTTTTTT